TTTGCCGACCAAAAATGTGGTTGGCAAATACTTGTTTTTAGTGACCAAAAAACAGTTAGTCGGCGATAAAATTAAACAATTTCAAAACACACCGGGGTTGATTAGGATGTTCTAAATAAGTGTACTTTTTGACTTTTTATGAAATGTTGGTTGGGTATGAGTTGGGTTTGAACTGATGTGATAGAGAGGTGATGTAACTTAAATAAGATAATGTAACTTAAATAGAATAGTGACTTTTAACTTTTTAACTTTTTTTAATTTATGACAAATTAGGTTTTTTTTTTTTTTTTGGGTGGGAATACTCTCACATTACCCGCTCAATTAGTAATTATGATTTATTTTATTTTATTGTTTTCATATTTTTCTATCAGTTCTCTCTCTCTCTCTCTCTCTCTCTCTCTCTCTCTCTCTCTCTCTCTCACAGACTCACCATCATTGATTCGCCGTTCACAATCACCGTCGGTCTTCCACCATCGCTCACCCTCAATCTTCCACCGTGGCGCATCATTCCATCGCCACTGCCGCTCGTATCGCTTTACTTCAACATTGACGTTTTCCCATTTCTCTATCCATTTCTCTTCTTCTCTTTATCTTTGTCACTCTCGTTCTCTGTTTCTCTGTTTCCCCATTTCCCTTCACCACATTTTCAGTGAAACTGGGCTGAAGCCCGTCTGGACGCTCAGCAAGATTCAACTTAGTCAACACTAAAGCTCTCAACTCACATACATTCACCTCATTCACCATATATATTTATCTTCTTCTCCAAAATAGCTCTCACAGGTCTAGGGTTTCTTGCAGCTGCTCAACAATGGTAACCTCTCTCTCTCTCTCTCTTTATATATATATATATATATATCTCTATACATACAAATATACGTGTAAGGGCTTATAGAAGTGGATGAATGGAAACAGGGGAAGAGAACATGGAGTTTTGGTAAGAGAAGGAACACGACCCACACCCTCTGTGTGAGGTGTGGCCGCGCAGCTTTCATCTCCAAAAGAGCCGATGCTCTGCTTGTGCTTTCCCTGCTGCCCGTAAGAGGACATGTAAGCCCTTTCTCTCTCTCTCTCTCTCTCTCTATATATATATATATATACTGGTTGGTTGTATTATCTGATGTGGGCATATTTTCAGATCACTGGAGTGTGAAGGCGATCCGAAGGAAGACGACTGGGACAGGTCGTATGAGGTACCTCCGCAACATCCCTCGTAGATTCAAGAGTAGTTTCAGAGAAGGTGATACCTCCCACCCCCTTACATTTTTCAATAGGGTTAATTTCATTTTTATATGTATGCTGTGGTTAATTTTTGTATTCATCTTTAAACTATTAACTAATTTCTTTGATTTTGTTCTTAAAGTTTCTAATTTTAGATAATATGATCAATTCAAGATTGTTGATGTTGTTTTCTATATGTTGATATTGTTCCTTTTCTCTTTGTTTTCAATTTCTAAGTAGCTAATTTTGAATTAGATTTAGATTTAGATTTAGATTTAGATTTCTTTCAATTTCGTTTTCAATTCTCTTGTTTTGTTTTCATCAATAACTTCCATTCATTTCAATGGAATCTTCGTCTTCGAATATAATCCTATCTCCATCTGTTTGCTTCATGATCCATGTATCATGGTTTTTGTTTTGCTACAGTTTTGGCTCTTAGGGCTACAAGTTTCCAATTATGTAGTGGAGGTGTTTGTGGCAAGGTCTCATAAAAGGATTTTGGGGTATCCTTTTGTTTTGTTTGTGCTTACCTTTGGAAGTGCTGAATACGTTGTCCTTTTGAAGCTGCTATGTTAGATTGTTGTTGTGTCATTTTGTATTATGTTATTTACATTTTTCTGTGTGTTTGCATTTTGTTATATCAATTTTTTAGTTAATTTTGATGATTGAACATATGATTAAGCTTGTGCTTGTTGAATTAGCTCTTTCAATACAAGCATAGCCCTATCTTGGCTAATTGTAATGTTTAGGAGGTAGTGACATTATGTGCTAAAAAGATCAAATTCAGAGAAGTACTGCACGCTAAGATATTAAGATTGTTCTTAAACAGGAAGTTGCATCATCATACACTAGTGTATTTCACCTATTCTGTCCCCCCACCCTCCTTGCTGGATACCTATTTTGTCACTTGTGATCTCACTTAATTGGTATTGCTTGGCAAGGAATTGGTATTGCTTTTATGAAACATTAATGGCCTTGTTTTTCTCTAACTTTTATATTATCATTGACCTTTATTTTTTCACTTGGGTTTTTGACAAATCATTGTTTTCTCATGGGGTTTGTTAAATGATGGTAGCACAATATTGCTAGATTTTCTCTAAGTTTTAATAAAGGTCAATTAATACTAGAAACACATCAGAAAAGGTTTAATGGTTAGTTGTGGTGAAGGGAGTTCATAAGAAATGCTAGATTCTAGTAATTGAGATAGGAAAAAAAATACAAGTGATAATATTTATATAAGGGCACCTGAGTTCAGCCTTGTAGTAAGAAGTTGTGACACCTTTTATTTGGAGCAATGTTCATGATTTTTTTTTGCTGAAACCCCGATATTTCTACACATTTCTCTTTGTTATTTGCTTTATCAATCTGGGGATGGTTCGAGATAATATATTCTTGTGTGTAGTATAGCCATTTTATATTCCTTTGTTATAACTTTGAAATTTGGTCACCTTTTATGAGGAAGCATAATCTGTTTGTGAATAGACAACTCAAAATCAAACAGGTATGGCATAGCCACAAGATATTTCATGTTGTACTGCACGTGCTTGCTATTATTTTTTGAGATGCTTTTTTATTTGTATTATTATGGGATTTATTTCTTGATTGATTACCATACATATGGCTCTTAACCATTGTTTTGTCAGTAAACAAGCAGTGGTGGTAGATATGCATTTCTAATCATAATTTTCCAGCTAGTTTGTAGTTGTCTCCTGTAAATTTCTTTTTGTTCTTTTTGAAGTGTGTTGAGAAGTTGGATCTGTCATCTTCTATATTTTATCGTAGTTTCATGTTTCTAATGTATTTCATTGTTTCTGTGGCAGCTGGTCAAGTTGTTAGACAGTCCATTACACAATTATTTGACGCAGAATGATTGCTTGAATTATTTCTTTTGCTTCCAATGGGTTCTTATACAATTTAAAAGGCAAGTGGCACGGTACCTTTTGCATTATGTTCTTTTTATTTTCTTGAACCTCTGTTTCCTCATATCAATGTAAGAACATGTTGCACTGGTTATTGTCTTGAGCATCTTGGGAAATTATTTTATATCCAGAGAAAGACAACCAACCTACATTTAAAATGTCTGTTAGCGCTACTTTTCTCCAAGAAAGCTAATAAAGACAAAAGGGCAGAAGGAACATCGATGGCATTTTTTGTGGAAATCTGCTTAGAAATATTTTGTGAAGTAACTATGCAAATATTGTATCAAAATTTACTCGTAAACATTCTAGTATTTTTAACCAATGTGTTAGACCAAGATTGCCACCTGATGATCACGCTCACCAGAATTTGAAGAATTTAACCATGATGATTTGAGTTTTCAAATATTTCTCTTCTCAATTTCTGTTCTCTTTGACATGTGTTCCTCTCGGAACTCTGCCGTCATTGCCCATGGGGGAAAAATTATTGTACCCTCAAGAAGACAATGTATTGCAAACATGGTTTTTTATTTTTCAGGAAATTGTCATTTCATGTTCACAAAATTAAGGAAGATCCTAAGGTATATGTTTTTATCTTTGGTTAACTTTTTCTTCTTTTTTCTTTTTTCTATGGTATATGATTCTTGCAAATTACAGGTTATATTGAATGGTTTAGATGGATTATTATATATCATACAAGTCAAATGAAATTCTTTTTATATTTTATTTCTATATTCATAAACAAAAAGAATTGAATTGGCGACCAAAATTTGGTTTGGTTTTTCCTGTTTTGGCGACCAAGTAATTAGTCGGTAAAATTATTAATCTTGGCAACCAAAGTGTTTGGTCGTGAATAGGTCTATTGCCAAGTAAAGTTTTAGTCACGCAAACATTACTTTTGGCAACTAACACTTTTTGGTTGGGGAATGTGACAATTGGCAACATATTTGGTCGGGAAAACATTACATTTGGCGACTAAAGTGTTTTAGCAACAAAATGGTTTCGTTGCGGCAATGTAACATTCAGCGACCAAAAATTTAGTTGGCAAACATAACTTTTTCCCGACTAAAAAATTTTTTAATCACTAATTACTTTTCCTGACCCTCAATTGGCAACCAAAGTGGCGACCAAAAAAATTAGTCGCGGATAATTTTTGCCGACTAAAAATGGGCTTTTGCCGACTAAATTTTTAGTCTGTAAAAGTACGATTTCCTGTAGTGACCACTTGACCCATAAGTAATTTGCACCGTCCATAAGATAAAATTTTCCATGCTTGTATGGATGGTTAATGTGACTATGTGATCAAGCAATTACTATATGGAGAAATTCTGTCTCACTCTTCTCTCTCTCTCATCCCAACATTGCAAAATTGTCTTATCAACGTTTCATTCAATGATTAAAAGGATGGGACACTTTTTAAGTAGCAAATAGCCCCTCCAACCAAGCCCAAACAACATGAATTACCTTTTATAATAAGCAGACAAATGGAGCCTCTGCTTTGGCTTAGTCTACAAGACAAACCAAATACACATTCACCACCTTTGCTTACACCCCACTACAGTGGCCTACTGCAACGTTTCTTTTTATGGCGTTTTTGGAAACGCCATTATAGATTGATGAAAGACAACGTTTTAACGTTGTCTTAGAGCTCAGTTGAACGGCGTCGTATTGGGTGTATATGTTGACACCATCCATACTCCGTTTCTCACTTTCTCTGTGTCTCTTCCGTAGCTTGGTCTCTCTCCCTCTCTCTTTCTCTCTCTCTTCCAAAGCCCTCGACTAATATTCATCGAACCAGATCAAAGACACACACACACACTCTCTCTCTCTCTCTCGCTCGCTTGCTCGATTGCAGATTTTGCATTGTATATTTGTCGAACTCTCGATCTCTGTTGCTCTTCATCGATCTGTCGCTGGAGAGCTTTGATTAGTCTCTTCATCGAACTTGAACTCAAACTCGATCTGTTCTTCATCAAATCGCAGATCCAAAATCGATATCATTCTCGAACCAGATCGATCTCTGTTGCTCTTATCTTAGGTATAATTTTCATTTTCTTAATCGATGTTCGAGTTTGAACCAGATCGATCTCTGTTGGTCTACTTTCTCATTGTCAAATCTGCTGATTAACTCTCTAATTTTTTCATTTTAAGATTAAATCAGATCAGATCGTTGAACCAGGTCATAACTTTACGCTAACAGCTAGTTTTGAAGGTTTAAATGCTTCAAGCTATGATGCTCTTGTGATCCCGGGAGGCAGAGCTCCAGAATACCTAGCATTGAATGAGTCAGTTATTAAATTAATGAAGGAATTCATGGAGGTTGGAAAGCCAGTAGCATCAATCTGCTATGGACAGTAGATTTTGTCTGCTGCTAGTGCTCTCAAGGTAGATTATTAACATTTTTGTTGCTTTAATATGAAATTTTGTTTAGCATATTTCATTGATCCAAAATTTATAGCAAGAAAATTCTATTTTGTGCTGAACTTATCATCCATAGTGTAACATCAAATTAAATGCCCTATGGGCTTACATCTTTCCAAGCCAACACTTGGATACAAAATATGAGTTCTAACTCAAATACAAATAAAGCCCTAGGCTTGATCATTTATCAAATAAAAACAAACAACTAAAGATAGTCTTCAAAATCCAAATCTTTCCAAGCTAAGTCCTGGGAGGTAGCTTATCACCTGGACCTGAAAATGATGTTCCCATAAAGGGTGAGCCACAGCCCAGTGGAAATATACTAAACCAAATATAAGCATTGAATAAAGTAATAGCATTCAATAGATGGTTAACCAAGATCGATTACATCATTATACAGTTTCATGACACTAATGCCTAGGACATGTTTTACTTTCCAACATTATCAATATGGCTCAGAACCTGGCCAATCTTACAACAGTGAACCATACATAATATATTCACATTCATCCAGTGTCAACAAATAGATGAGACTCGGGCTCAAATCAAAACACTTCATACTTCCAGCTTGATACACATTTTAGTGTTGTATCAATAAAACACTTCAATATAGATAAGCACACATAAAAGTGATGCTAATGGAGTCCATCTCCTATCTCCTCCCAAACAAAAATGCATATACAATGTATTAAACACTCGTCATATACAACACACAATCAATACATGTATTTTCTGTATTAATTCAACAGTCTAAATCAATGACTTAACCAATGTGATTAGTTTCAGTTTTCAGCAGTCAAAATTGATGACTTAATCAATGATTAGTTTCAGTTATCCCTAATCCACATGCAGTGTCTACAACAAACACGACTATCCTCCACCAATAGCCCAAAACAGTTATTTCTAGACTTAGAAATAAATATACCAACAATTCAATAGACGAGGGATTTAAATTAACCAACTACGCCATTTAATCAATGAATTCCCAAATTCCATGAATTTAACCATATTTTCCTAATTCCATGAATTGATTATACAAATTAATTAATTAATACAACTAGGGTTTTTGCCAAAAGTACCAAAGTATCCCCAACATATCAAAATACCAAAACTTAGAACAAAACTTATAGAATGGAGTAGGAAATCCCTAGCTCGAAGAAAATAACCCGAATGGAGAAGACAAAGATGAATACCCAACTTCCAATGTGCTCCAAATCTCCAAAAGTTCAGATTAGATGGAAGCCCTTGACTCACTCTATCTTTTAAATAAAGGATCTAAGGTAGAAACTCACTCTAAGTAGATCAAACCTAAGAGAGAAGGTGAGTAGAGAAAGAGAAAAGTCGGTTCTAAGGTTTTTCAGATCAAAAGGGGGATGAAAAATGATCCAGAAAGTCGGATCTCGGATTTATATACCAGTCGTTCCGCTCGAGCGTGTAAACCCCCGCTCGAGCGCCACTCACAGACTCCCGCTCGAGCGGCCAAACTCCCGCTCGAGCGTCGAATGCACACTCCCAGAAGTTTTACAGAACCAGGTCTCCGCTCGAGCTTCCAACTCCCCGCTCGAGCGTAACTCACACAACCCCGCTCGAGCGGACAATCCCACGCTCGAGCGTCCAACACTGCACAGGAAATACTGGATGGGTGAAATTCTCGCTCGAGTGCGAAAACCCCCGCTCGAGCGTACAGGTCAAAAACTGGGCAACTAGTTTTGACTTCTAAACTCAACCAACCTATAACAAACCTGCCCAACACATCCCAAAACACAAAAACCAAGACATTAAAGGCCAACAACAACCAATATATAATGACAGGATCCACGGAGCCTAAGTCCGGATACAATAATCTAAAGGGAAAAGACCGGGGTCGCTATACATAGTAATTACACTTTCAATTATTGCTTCATTAATTCTATTTTGTGATTTTTTTTAAATTTCTTGATTAGTTTTTTTAAATTGATTATCATCCAACCCTTGCTTATACTTGTACTCTAATTGAGTAGAAATTAGAGTAGAAGTTTAAATGAAAAACTTCATTTGATATGAAGCACTCCAATGGATAAACTAAAATTTGAGTAAAATTCCCCATCTAAAAAATAAAAAATAAAAATAGAGCAAAACTGCCAAGAGTCAAGTTTTGAGCGGATGCTAGGAGTTGGGAGTAAAGGAGAATTTGGCAAATTTGGGTAAAAGCACCTGTCAAGTTTTGATTGGATAGATATTTGAGTAAAGGAAATGGGTTGGGGGGGATTTTAGTGGTTTACCCAAATTTAAGTTTATACAATGGCTAGTTGGCCGTCTTTGAGATTTGCGGTAACAGGAGATAGTGTTCAAGGGCAGTTTGTAGATAGTGTTCTATAATTTAGTTATGATGTTTTGCATCAAAACTTTGCAATTTGAGCCTACCTTGGGTTTTTTTTGACAATTCAATATTCACGCCATCTTCCTCTGTGCTGATGAGGACATGCTTTTGTTCTCAAGCTCGATTGTGAATCTCTCCCTATAAGTAACATGAAAATGATAGATATTTAGTCCAGAATATAATATTGGCACCCAAACTTTTCCTCAATCATACATCAGAAAAAATGTAAATGCTATGCCAACAATGTCATAAAGTATCAATTCTTTGCCATTGAAATGTTAGTTATGGTCCGCACATTAGTTGCTGTGTGTGTGTGTTTTTTTCTTTTGTTGAGAAAATGGAAGTTTGTTGATGTGCTATTACTGTGTTCTGATTTAGCGATGGACTCTTTTGCAGGGCAAGAAATGTACTGCATACCCTGCAGTGAAACTCAACGTGGTCTTAGGTAGGGCAACATGGTTAGAACCTGATCCAATAAGTCGAATCTGGTAACTGGAGCAGCATGGCCAGGTCACCCTGAGCTCATTTCTCAGCTAATGGTGTTGCTTGGTGTCCGGGTATTGTTCTAGCTGTTTATCATGTTTCCAGTTTGTGAATGTACACTGTCTGCAGAAAAATATAGATAGTATTGAATTTGTTTATACTTTGCTACTAAAGAATTTGTTTTGCTTACTCTACTCTTATCATGGATCGTGCAGATGAAGTGAATCAATCCATCATCATAAGGTTAGTTGAACTGTCTTTTTGTGTGTGTGTGTCCATGAAGTGAAAGCTCTGTATGTTGATGCTTTTTTTATGCTTCCCTTCTCTTCCTTTTGTGGCAGTTTTCCATAGGCTTAATTTTCTTACACCATGAGATTTAAGTTATACCTAAGAAATCAGTTGTATCTATCTTGTAGTGGGGAAAGTGGAGCTGGGAAAACAGAAACAGCAAAAATTGCAATGCAATACTTGGCTGCTCTTGGTGGCAGTGGTGGGGTAGAAAGCGAAATCCTTCAGACAAGCTACATTCTAGAAGCATTTGGGAATGCAAAAACATCCAGGAATGACAATTCTAGCCGATTTGTGAGCCTTTCTCTCTCTCTCCCTCTCGCACCTCGTCCTCTCATCTTCCAAACATAATGCACTCCTATTTTTGTTATGCATTTTAGCTTAAAGATTCTTTACGAACACTACTTGAATGAGTTGATCATTGTGCAATACTTAAATGAGTTACTTCAAAAGATATACAGATAAACTCTTCTTGATGTGGTGCAGGGGAAGTTGATTGAGATTCATTTTAGTGCAATTGGGAAAATATGTGGCGCTCAAATCCAGACTTGTAAGCATGTTTACATCAGAAAGTTGCTAAAGACTCATTTTCTTGTGATCCCGTTTCAATTGTGTTTACTAGCTTGATTTATTTTTTGATTGCATATGTGCTGTAAAACATCAACTCCTTCAATAATCATGGATAGTTCTGCTTGAAAAGGTATGTTGATTCCACTGTAAACTCGTATGTATTTATTTATTTTGTTTATATAAATAACACATGCCTGATAAAAGTATATGATGTTTTCTTTGAGCAGTCAAGAGTGGTTCAGCTCGCTCATGGAGAAAGGTGATACCATATCTTTTACCAACTTTGTGCTGGTGCTCCGTCTGGCCTCAAAGGTTGTTTGTATCCTATCATTATTTCATTCATGGAAGTTCAGTGAATCTAGAAACAGTTGTTGAAGTTATAGAATCTGAGATCCATTCTGGGTTTCCAATAACATGATGTAGAAAATTATATTTTGTTGTTAAGAAGCTAGAGACATTTCTGATGAGATATATGATGTGGTTCTCTATATCAGCTATATAATTACAACCTAAGAAAATTTATGGTCTCTGACTTCGTGTCATATATTTCTTTACAAATAGACTGAATCTAAAATCAGTTGTTGAGTTCCATTATCTAAGTTAGAGTGGCTGCTTGGCAATTGATGATGTTGATGATGCTAGGTAATTTCAAATGCTTATGGTAATTAGACTTCACTAAACAGTGAAATTTTCTCTCTGTTCTTTCTGCGTCCTAATTATTTTTAATTTAATTTATTTTTTTCTACTTTGACAGGAAGCCTTAGATACTGTTCGACTTTGCAAAGAAGACCAAGACAATGCGTTTGAAATGCTTGCTGTAGTGTTGTGGCTGGGAAACATATCATTTCAAGTAATTGACAATGAAAATCATGTAGAGGTGGTGGCTGATGAAGGTAAGGTCTATAGCTTGGTTTCTAGTTATTTTTTATTTATAAATAAAATAAAATTCAATTCTGGTGGTTTTCCTTTCCTTAATGTTGTTTCTACGTAAACTTTGAATTTCTATTTTTTTTTTTACTATCTTGGACATTTGTATTTGGTCATGGGTGAGGGCATTGGTTGTATATCTGCACTGTAGGAGCTACATGTTAATTTATATGGGTAAAATACTATCTATTAAGCATTTCATACTGGATATAGATTGAAAATGTCACCAACAAGTTATCTATGAAGTAGAATGAATCAGGTGATTTTTTTCTATCACCCTTGCTTCATGTCATGGTATCCTCCAGGTAGCTTGCCTAGTACATCATCGAGTACTGGTTCAACACATGACACTACTGCTGGTATGAATTATTTTATTCAATTGAATTACTCCATTAGATTTCTTTGTTAATGTTCTTTTTTCTTTTGATGTTTTGCATTTCTTTGGTAATGTTATTTGTTGATTGGCTTCACGTTCAGTCTAGTTAGCTGAGTTCTATGATGTGCATGGTCATAAACATTTTAAGTCTTTGATTGACTTGGCTATTGCATATGGATTTAGATCATCATCAATTTATATTAAAATATTCAGCATTGGGAAGGTGTTCACCTGATATTTTGCTGCATTTATTTGCTTTCCCTTAGGTGGAATGGTGAGAGATGCTTTGTGGAGAGTGCTTTTGTCGCTGATATTTTCAATATAATTGGTGAGAAATGCAATTAACTTGGAGTTTTCAGACTACAAGAGGTTGATAAACAATAGCATTGTGCTACAAAACATCAGATTTTGCAGAAATGTTTTTGCTGGTCGTTGCTTTCGGCTTAATAGCAAGTGACGAATATAGTGCACAGTGCACAACAGAATTGGGAGACGCAAAATCTGAAAATTGCTGCTCTTACCAAAGATATGATTTGATTGCTCCCTAAGTCCGGAGCGATTTAGGAAACACAGATGATACTTTTTTTTCATTTTTTTGTAAATCACAGCTGTTTTGTTTTTCAAGTTACTTTGTAATTAGCTAGAAATGAACTACATGTTTTGGATAATAGAGTCAATGATACTGTGTTGTTATGGGGCAGAGATCCAGATATACTTTGTTGTTGGGTATAATTACTGATGTTGAATAAGGGCTGAACAACCCATAGAGATCAAGAGATTGATGAATTGCTGGTTTTAAAATGTAGAACATTACTTGATTTGCAGGTTTTACAATGCTACACACTTGGAAAAAATGACAGAAAATAAAATGTGAACATATTCATTCTAGGTATACTTGCAACTGCACTAATTTATAATTACCCCCCCCCCCAAAAAAAAAGAAAAAAAACGTGGCGTTTAAAACGGCACAAAATGACGTCATTGTCACCACAAATTAAAAAATTAAAAAAATAAAAAAACAGTGGCGTTTTTTCAAAAAGCGCCACTAAATGACGTCATTGTAACGTCACACGTTAATTTGGGACAGAGGGTGAGACGGTCGTCAAAGATTTTGCGGCGTTTTAAGAAACGCCGTATAATATTTTTAGCGACGTTTTTTAAACGTTGGGTAGCTATTGAGGCGGCCCTGTCAGCGGCGAAAATTTTACACGTCACTATAAGATATTACGGCATTTTTCAGAATTTTCGCGGCGTTTTGAAAACGCCGCTAAAAAACGAATTTCCTGTAGTGCCCAAAGCACCCCAACCATAACATTAATTGCTTTCTAAAAGCACAGAACTCTCAAAAGAGAGAGAGAGAGAAACTAATCAGTAATTCACTTGCAACAAGAAAAGCCTTCCTTTCCCTTTCATAATATGCCAACAAGCATATCAACTAAGATACGATACATTTATGTGGGTTCCACCATTTGATGTGAAACCCATATATCATTTTTGTCTAATTGGTATATTTGTTGGTAAATTTGTTATTGTTCTTAACATTATTTGCATAGATGCGCTTGTGCTTCTTAAACAAGAATATATGAATGTGAACCAAGGTGGCCTCAGTTCCGCACTGGACCTTTAATCATGTTGTTGCTCGTATAATACATATTGATTTTAAGCTAGAGTTTCTATTCTTCCACTGCTGAGTAGGATCAGAATAAGGAAACAACCCATTTTGTGTATTTTTTTTTATTTATTTTTTATGTTTTAGGTCGTCAAATTCTACTAATTAATCTTGATTCTTCCAGCAGAATCATATAGAAGCAGAAATGAGTGTTTCAGCTCCTCCTGCTAAAATACTGATGGGCATATCTTTAAACCCAGATGCTAGCAAAGAGCTTGTGGCATGGGCTATCAGGATTGTAGCTCATCCAAATGACACTATGGTTGCCTTACACATTCTTGGTTAGTATCTTCTCTTCTACCTAATCTTAATTTGTCATTTCATTCATCATTTTAATTAAGACCATTTTGGGTCAAATTATATCCTTTCTCTCATTTTGTTTTTCTCTTTTATGGAAATAGATGTTTCGTGTGAGAGTTATTTGACAGTAATGTTTGACATTATCTAAGTTTCTTTATGGATATTCCAACTCCAATTGCATTGTATTGTTTTGTGTATCGTAAATTTTATTTAAGTAAAAAAAAAAAAAAGGTAGACAATACAATAATTATAAAAACCATAATTATATTGCAAGAATAAAAAATTAAACAATCTATAATTAATCATTACATAAGCAAGGTTCTAGAATGCAAGGTATACTTGCATCAATACTTAATACATGTAAAACGCAAAGTGGAGATAAAAATAAGTTTAACCAAAGATGTAGCATTTCAGTAGATCATCGTATTCTTGAATCAAATTTTTCTTTAGAATATAATACATTTTTTTGTAATGCTTTAAATCACCATTATTGATATTTTAATTTTTAATTTACAACTTTTACAGTCTCAAATAATGAAGTCCTTTAACTTTGCCCATGTAAATCAATAGCATAAGATATAAAATATCAGACAAGTAGTTATTTACCTTTTGAAAAAGAAGAAGATCCCTTTTCACGTTAAAAATATAATATATTTTTTTAATAGGTTGTAACGTGCATCATATGTTTACAACTTGTATATATTTCGTAAACAAATCAAGCGATAAGCAAGTGAACAGTAAAATGCTAACTACAAATACTATATTGTAGTTTGTATGAATTGAGATATTGCAATTTATTAGTGCAAGTTTCTTTAGCCGACACAGTCTCACGTGTTTATTTGGTAGAACAGTAGAGCATCATAGGAAGAAACGCGAGTCAGTTGCAAAATTTCAAACACATGCTGGTCATACAAAAGCATACGTCATATCTGCGATGGCTGAATTTGACACAATGTCACTCTAAGCAGGTATATAATATCTATCCTCTTTCAGTTTCAGACTATAAAGTCGTTAAAGTTATATATCATTTCTGTAATATTTATGTGCAAGTAAATACTAAGTGCTCTAAAATTGGCAATTTCATATACATGCTTAAGGGCCTCCAAATTTCAGGTGAATCTGGAGGCTAGAGTTGAGTTCAACCCTAGTGTTGCAAGAGGTCTAATTGAGGAAGCGAAACGTGTAAATGCAGATTTTCTTGTTGTTGGTCACTCAAGGAACAGAACGAACTGGTATAGGTTTTGATCGAGTTCAATTCATATACTTTGGTTTAATAGAATATGTTTTAAATAGTTTATTTGTGTTTTGCCATTAGAATTTCATGCGAAATCACAAGTTACTGTTTTGAGCATGCCCTGGAAGGCTGTTCAGTGGTCTCAGTTGGGAAATGTGTCATACCACAACAAAATTCAGATTTAAATACTCTGCACATTGAAGGTTAGTTCATTTCAAAAACTTGAAATTTCGATGAATTTTTTTTATTTTAAATCGGATGTGCTCTAATAATCAGTTTTAATGTAGCAGAGCATTGTCAAATGAGTTCAAAGTGGCCAAACAAAAATGATCGTATGGACAAGTCCTCAGTCACAAAAACAAAGAGAGAAAAAATGTTTTCACGAAGAACAGTGCTAGATGTATGTAAAGGAGAATCAAATAGCACTGGAGAAGAAAGCTCTAGTTTTGGGGATTCAAGCATAACTGACTCCCCTCCTCTGTCTCGAGTTAAAAGGGGAATCCAATTTTCCAAAGCCACCATCACCTCTTAAGCGTATTTCCTCTTTCCTACGATCATCATTTGATTTCAATGCAAGAAAAAGAAATAGAAATGACGTCTTATCTGACAACGAAAAGCAGCAACCTTTGCTAAGATGCTTTAGCTACAAAGAGATTGCGAAAGCCACAAAACCTTTCCACCCGGGTATGAATACTATGCAACTTTTGTCATTAGAATGCTTCATTACCAATCACTTTTTTTCTTTGTTCGTAATAAAAATTTTAAAGGGTGATTAACAAAATTTCAAAAATTCATATGATTGCTTGCATCATTGCAGATAATATGGTGGGGAGAGGAGGATACTCAGAGGTGTATCGTGGAGATCTTGATGATGGACGTACCATAGCAGTTAAGAGGTTGGCAAAGGACAACACAGATGAAAACAAGGAAAAAGAGTTCCTTCTAGAGTTGGGGATAATAGGACATGTCAACCATCCCAATACTGCAATCTTAGTTGGCTGCTGCATTGAAAATGGACTCCATCTCATCTTCAACTTGTCTCCCAATGGAACTTTAGCATCTGCATTGCATGGTAAGTGAAAACCTCCTCCTCCGTCCCCCTCCCCCAAACAAAAAAAAACAAACCACCACACACCCACACAACACACACACACAAACTACGAGCACCTCACGGCGACACATACACGCACCATCGACTAGGGACACTCACCCCACCCACCCACCACCCCCACACCCCACACCCCGAACCACACCGCTCTATGTGATACCAAAAGACTCGCACAATTTTTGTTTTTCACAGGAAAAGCAGACAAGTTACTCAAGTGGCCAGATAGATATAAAATTGCACTAAGGGGTTTGCATTATCTTCATAAATGTTGCAAGCACCGAATCATACATCGCGACATAAAGGCCTCTAATGTGCTTTTTGGGCCAGATTACGAACCATGGGCGAACAACAGACGAGAGCACCAGCATAATAGATTAAGCCTAATAACCTGCACAAAAAGATGAGAATTTGGTGGTGGTTCGTCCACCCGGGGCACTCCGACGATCAAGTCAGTATATCTCTTAAAGATAATCAATAGTGCTTAACTCACTAGACATAATATAAATTGCGTACCTTAAACCCATGGGGGTGCCTCTCTTTTATAATTAACTCAATCCTTGTCCCACTAGAAGCCTAACTTCTATGGATTCCTGTTCAGTACTTACTTTGGACTCCTCAAGAGATAAAGATAAACTCCCTAAGAGCTTTATCCTTATCTTGGCTAAGTCTCTTCTTTATTCTAGGACTCTTGTCCCTTATCCTTATCCGCTTATCTCAGATTCCGATATCTTCGGAGATAACCTCGGCCTAACCGAGATGACCTTGGCATATCGACCAGGACACGTGGCACCTCGGATGACACGTCGGCGTCACCTCGCCACGTGTTGGTACTCAAAAATATATCCCCACAACTGCCCCCTAGGTTCTATTACCTCGGTATTCTGAGGTGATGGAACCTATATCATTCCGTCCTTCCAGTACGTTGGTTTACAGTATCTTAGTCAAGATCATTATGTTGGCCGATATGTCTTTATTAAAGAACAAGAACTTCAAGAACCCTTTCACGCGTATGAGCTGTCATACACCATAATTCAATCGTTTCAGCAACGTGTCCCTTTCTTATTGGACTGTACTTGGCATGTGCTTCATAATCGTCTCGCACATACGTGCGCCATCTGACGCTCACGTTGTCCCAGGCGCATTAATTGCCCTCTTTTGCCGCCGTTTCAAGTTTTTAACAAAACTTGTTTCCTTCTTCTTTCGTGTTCTTCACTTTTACATCGATTCCTTTGCTTTTTCTCTCTCGTTCTTGCTTTACCCTTTGAAATCCTCCATTGCTCAAGCTTCCAAAGTTCTGCAGCCACCGGCGTTTGCTTTCTTCGACTAGGTTCGTGCTGATTCTCCGGTCCGCCACCGTCGTCTGACCTCGGCAACATTTATCACCGGCTTCGTTCTTCCTCTGGTAATACACTATTCCTTCTTATTTCAGTTTCTTAATTTTTTTCTTTAACTTGTTGCCATTACTGCTTTGCT